GAGAGAAAGGGGTGAGAGAAAGGGGGTGAGAGAAAGGAGGAGGAGGAGGAAGGGGGGGAGTAGGAGAGAGGAAGGAAGGGGAGCTATGTACCTGGACCAGCTCACGGACCAAGGAAAAACCTCCTGGTCCCACCAACATTCCTGCCGCGAGGTAACCTAGTATCACTGGCTGGCCGAGAAATCCGCATGCTAACCCACCCACAGCCGCAGACACAATCACCTTGACAATGTCTGAGATCAACGTCAGGTCCTCCTGAAGATCCATCTGCCCTTTCGTTGATGGATTACTAATTACAAATTCGTTGTCGTCCTGATCAACGAGGCGGGGAACATCTTCCTTTTGCTCCCCTTCACCGTCCAGGTCATCAACTTTCCCACCATTTTCGTTACTCTGGTCATTATTACCTTCGCCTCCCTCTCCTTCTGCACTTCCTCCTCCTCCTCCTCCTCCTCCTCCTCCTCCTGCTGCTGCTGCTCCGGCTCCTCCTTCTCCTCCTCCTTGCTGTCCTCCGACGACGATTTCTCCTCCCTTGTCATCTTTCATAGCTTCTCTCCCTCCGTCTGTTCTCTTCCCTGCACCGTCTACAGCTACAGCGGCACCAGCCCCATCTCCTTCTGTCATCGCAACTAGCCCAGCGGGACCACCACCTCCTCCTCCCCCTCCTCCTCCACCTCCTCCTCCTCCCTCCCTTCCATCTAGAGTACCCGTCTCGTCCGCAGTCCCTCGTAACCCTAATTGCTCATACCAGGCAGTCTTTTTTTCCTTTCCCCCTCCGACTACTACTGCTGCGCCCGCTTCTTTCCCCGTCTTCTCCGCATCCACCCCCCTACCCGCCACGCCATTCTCTCCCCCTCCTCCTCCTCCTCCTCCTACTTCTCCCTTCGTTTCCCGCGCAATCGCCGTCCCGTTCCCGCCATCATTCCCTCCCACTCCCTCCGTTTCCCCTCCTCCTCCTCCTCCTCCTCCTCCTAATACTACCTTCTCCTCCGCCTTCTCTTTCTCCTTATACTTCTGCGGCCTCAATCGCGCCACGTACTCTAATTTCCCATTCACCTTCGCCTCCTCAAACCTCACCCCCGTCTTGTCCTTCTCCTTCTCCTCTCCCTCTAGTCCCGCCAGAATTGTCGTTATCCCCGACAACGTGTCCCCCTTTTTCTCGTTGGCCCCCTGCTCTCCTTCTCCCACAGGATCTCCTCTCAAATTGCCATCCCCGTAATCCTGTTCATCCACTATCTGCTGCTTTCCCACGTCTTCCATCAAGCTCCGGCGTCGAGGCTGCGCCGTCTTCATCCCCGCAGATGACACGTCATTATCATCATCACCACCCTCAGCAGTCCGACGTGGTATCGTACCCCCTCCCCCCCTCCCCCCCTCCCCTCCCCTTCCCCCCAGACTACCATTTACATCCCCCTCGAAGAAGTCGTCAGTGACCAGATCCGCATTTTGATCCGATGGCTGCTCCATCGGCATTCCCAAGGGGAACCACCTCCCCCCCCCCTTCTCCTCCCCCACCACGGCGGATATGGAAGCGCCCATTCCCCAGAACACCACAGCGGAGGACATCACTAAGAGCATCATTAGAATGACCACAGCTGAGTCAGCACGAAGCGCGCCAAGCCGCCAGCGACCCTTCCTAATCGGGAAACGAAGCCTGGTTGTGCCCTCTCCCATCTTTCCTCTCTAAGTACTTTCACGCGGGGGCCTCTGACCACAAGACCGCCGCCTGCGCCTGCTCCTTCTGGTCCCGATCCCTTCCGTTACCTGCCGTTACCTGCTATTAACTCCAGTTAACCATTGTCTTCTCCGTTCAAGGACACACCCCGTCACTCCTCTGGCTTCCCCCTTCTCTTTCTTCCCGCCGCCAGCCCGTTCCGCCTCCCCCCCCCCCCCCCTTCTGCTCCCTTCCCCCTAATCTCCACTTCACCCCTCTTGGTCGGGAAGTACTGGTAGTTGGTTTGATCACCCGCCCCTCTTTCAGAACTCTACCTTGGCAACCGATCCAACTCATCACCTCTCAAAAATATGTCACATCATCATTCATCATCATCATCATCATCAGGAGCCAATCAATGGCTTCGAGAGTCGGCGGCACGACTCGAAATTAAGCCATCACTAACCAACCCTCAACCCTCCACTTAAACAAGCAACCCTCCGCTCAGCGCAGTCCATCGATCTGGCAGTGGGTATAGATGCGCAGCACTCGTACAAGACTATAAGCTTTATTGTCCGCAAAAAAAAAAAAAAAAGATTCACTCCTTTGCCACATTCAAGCAACCACGCACTCGACCATCGATGATTCAATCAATCAATCAATCAATCCATCCATCCATCCATCCATCAATCAATCAATCAACATACACGATTGATTAACCAGGCAGTCGTCGACAAACACGCACATGAATCAAACAACACTCTTCTCGAGTGGCTATTCCTCCCAATCAAGCCACCCATCAACGACCTAATCAATTCATCACTTAATCAAACCTATTAATCAAGTGAGAGCAATACAGGAGTTCTTGGAAAATAGATACTCAGAACCCCGCACAAATATTCGAGCCCCTGATAAACAATGACGTCTGAATCTGACCGCAATCACGTCCAGAGCTTGGTAGAAAAGGGGCCCGGTGTAAGTATACCCTAAAAATGTCGGCGCGCAGCAGGAGACAAAAGGCGGAGGACGCTGGAAGGCAGGCTGGCGATGGAGATCTCCACCTCTCATCGACGGATCGAAAAGACTGAGAAGAAGAATCATGGACGTATCGTCGAAGGTTCATTTTCCCAAACTGACGGTTTTCTTTCTTCTTCTTCTTTTTTTTTCGTTTCTCTTTTTCCTTCTTTTCTTCTAACCACCGACGGTTTTCACGCTCTAACTGTTTTTTTTTTTGTTTTTTACTGTCCTTTTTTTTTTGGGGGGGGGGGGGGGGGGGGGATTTTACTGTCCTTGCAGGGGTCCACTCTATACGGCCTTAGGAGAGTAGTAATAGTGGTAGGTAGGGAGTAGGAGTACCCTCTATATAGCCTTAGGAGTGGTGGTAGGGAGGTAGTGAAAGACAAATTTGAGAGAGAAAAAGAATATATAGGGCGACTAGGGAACGACTGGGGAAAGGATGGCCCCACAAGGATTGCTGCCTGCCTGCCTGCCTGCTTGTCCGTATAAATGATCAACTGCTTGTCCGTATAAATGATCAACTGCTTGTCCGTATAAATGATCAACGGCCAACGGGCCTGCCCGTATACATGATCAACGGCCTACCGGTACCTGGCTACAATACTCCAGTCTGCTGTGATACCTGTCGAATCTGCGTTCGAATCTTTTTTTTTTTTTTTTTTTTTTTCAAATCTGCGTTCGAATCTGAGGGCCTCGCTGCATGGCACACGGATCCAGCGGCCTAGCTCAGTTGGTAAGGCACTCAAGTGGCATTCAGGAGGTCTTGGGTTCAATCCCCATTGGCCTCATGCACCTTCCTGAACAAGCTTGGCTCCCGCCACCTAGAGATACGCCGTTGGTCCCCCTGAGGGGCATTGAGCAGAGCCTGCTGATGTTCATAGGGGGAGGGGACCGGAGGGGAGGCACAGTGACTGGCCCATTGAAGAAGGTCGGTCCTGATGCTACGGGCTGACCCCTGGCCGGTATCGCCCACCTGCTGTAGCAGGTATCGCACCTGCTGGTGGGTGCAGCTCCCGCCCGCATGTTCCCTCGTTGGAGGCTTGAGCACGGATGTGGCTGCTACGGGGTTCCCCGTAATACTATAATGACAAAAAAAAAAGGCCTGAAAGGCCGTCCTGTCCAGATTTGACAGGTAATGAGTTGGTTGGGCTTAAAGAATTAGCCTTTAAAAATTTTAAATTAAAATTAAAATATAAAAAAACATGGCACATGGAACACACACAAAAAAAAAAGAGTGCATCTTCCTGCGGAAACTCAAAAGATTCGTCCTTTTACTATGAATAGCGACGAATGTTCGCAGTCCGTCAGGGGTGCGTTTTATGCCCCTGAGAACATTTTTCGTCGTCGTTCGTTAGACGGTCGTTGGAAGGCTGGAAAAACAAGGCATGGCAGTTTTGGGGGTGGTGGCATCTTATTCGAAACTGCAGGACCGGTAGCTGCCCGTGGGACCGCACGGGTTTTGGTCCAGGACCACGTAGGACCGGTAGCTGCGCATAGGAGGCCGAGGAGGCCACAGTACTTTTTCGAATTTGAAACGGTGCAGGTCCACTTTTCTCGAATAGCAGAGTTCCTCGAATAGAAAATGCACACGTTGTATTCGAATACAACTTGTACCCTTTCTACTCGGATTTTCGAAAAGAAAAAACTCTTGTATTCCGATAAAATTACTTCTTCTTTTTGTTGGAGGTCAGCGCCTGCCCTTGTGCTCCCCGCCACTGACATGC